GGTTTGGTGGTCTTCGGCTGTTTTCTGATTAGCCTCCGTAGCAGGCTTATAGAACCGGGGGTTTGGTGGTCTTCGGCTGTTTTCTGATTAGCCCAGTTCTATAAAAAAAAAAAGTAATTCAACCAGGCCGGCTATGTTGTCTATATGCAATCAGAAAATAGCACATAAAAGCTCCCAAAGACCCTGAAGACCCCCAGTTTTTGGTATGCTATGGAGGCTTACAAGAGCAGACCCCCTGTATCTGCTTGGAGATTCAGTAATATTACCAGGGACGACACTAATCAACTTCAGACTGGGCCATTCAGCCAGGATTAGACTAAACTAGAGTTCCCCGATCTCATACCTTCGCCAAATGATGTTAATCTTTATAACTGACAAAGTTTAGATTAGATTATTCTCCCCTGATTTAAGAAATAGGAACCTAATTTTCATGAATTATATCATTTTATCATAATCTCAACCAAAAGACAGTCTTATATTAACAAAGAATGCATTCTAGCATTTTTGTAATTGTATACATAATACATAATTGTAAAATTTTCTCATTAATTATGCAAATTAAGTCATTATTAGCATAATCAACATCTTCCTGTGTTTCTCTCGTTGTCAATCACCAATGTCACAAGCTTCAATTGTCCTATCATGGAATGCAGCTGATTTATAGAATTTCCCCATAAATTATGCAAATTACATCCATATTTGCATAATAGTCACATAATTATATTAAGCATCACGTAAGCTACCTACATACCAAAAATCACGACGATCCGTCAACCGGTTCTTGAGTTATCCCCTTTTGAATATTTTCAAGAATTTATCCCTGCAGTTCCAGAGCAAGCCGCTAGGGGGCCTAAACTCACGTCACTTCTTTCCCAGCACAAGAGCTACCTACCATCTAAATTTCATCACCGTAGCATGTCTAGATCATGAGATATCAAAACCGGAAGTTCAGCTGCAGTACCATAACAAGCCGCTAGGGGGTCCAAAATCTAATCATTTTGAGGTCTCATCAAGACCTACCCACCTACCAAGTATCAAGACAATCCATCAAGGCATTCTCAAGTTATCGTGTTTACAGACAGACAGACAGACACACACACACACACACACATACACGAACGCCCCTGAAAACATAACCTTCTTGGCGAAGGTAACAAGGGCGCCAGTCTTCATGTGCGACGGTTTGTTGTCCGTAGGGTAGAAAATTAAAGAAGTCGCTTAAAAAGATCTCAGTGTTGCCCCACGCAGAGTTGGGTAAATTGAGGGCACGCCGCTTTGTGTGTGGATAAACTTTCTTCTTTATGTGGGCAAGTCAAAGGAAAAACCTGACATGAGCTCACAGTTTTCAGTCTCGAAGTAATTTAGTAAGTATGTAAATCCAATATTATGACATGATTTCTATCTAAAAGTATTTGATTGCAGTTTCTAAGGTATGTCAAGACTCATTTTCATGATTTTTGTCTCAAGTTAATTTAAAAGTATTTAGTAGACCAAGGAGATTTGACTAGACCAACAACTTTTGGGGTGAAAAAGTAAAATTTTAGCCAAATATGGAGAGTGACAATTGCTACGGTAACCATATAGTTGATTTGCCCCAGAGGAGCTCTAAGTGACCAATATCTGCTGAATTCTAGTAGAAGGTAGAGTTGTAGACTGAGAACAAGGTAAGTTTATATAGTTGCCGAAACACTAGCCTCCTTCGCAGACTTGTAGGATTTCGCCGCCAAGGGAGTTTAGTTGGACAACGAAACCGTGTCTCCCCAGCAAAACTCAGTCGGCGGCAAAATCGTCCCTCTGCGGCATAACTCGCGTCGCTCACCAAAAAAAAAATAACGCTGCACCCTACAAGTCTGCGAAGGAGGCTACTTCAATGCTGTGTTGTGGCCTTGATCTCTGGGCCTCACAGGTCTGTTTTGGCCGAGGCTAACGCGTGGCGTAAGTGAGCGTTACTGACAGCTGGTCGGCTGCCTTAACAGATCGGGTGACAAAACAGACACTGGCACAACATTGACGTACAGGCAGGTGGCTCTGAGCTACAAAACACACAGACAGACAGGGTTACTCTGTGTCATTGGTACATGTAGAACTCACTTAGATCTGTTACTACTATTATTAGAAATTGTTGAGAGTTTTAGACCAGTATCATAACTATAGTGTCCAATATGAATTGGGGAAAAAGTGTTCTTTGCTACGAAAACACACAGACATCCAGGGTTACTTTGTGTCAATGGTACTTTCTTTTTTTTAGAACTCGCTTAGATCTATTATTACTATTAGAAATTGTTGAGAGTTTTAGACCAGTATCATAACTATAGTGTCTGATATGAATTGGGGGAAAAGTGTTAGTAAACAATAGGAAATTCAAACTCTACTACTGGATCTTCACAACGGTATCTACTATTAAATAAATTACCACACGTGTCAAATGACATCCACCACGCTTCTTCAGATTAACAAATGAACTAACAGAACTCGTGGGGTCGTGCGCGACTCGGAATCAAGAGGTCCCGGGTTCGAGTCCCGACATGCCACCGATCTTGTGCTCTTGGGGAAGGCACTTAACACGACTTTCCCCACTAGACTCAAGTGAAAATGAGTATTGTCTGTCCAGTATTCGTTTCTATGTGCAGGACACAACACCAGCAACAGCTGCCTCTGTTCCGCGTGTATTGTATTGTTGCAACTTCAATAAAATTGAAATCAAACAGAAGTTGTTTTCGACTAAACTTTAACCAAAGTTTCCCTGTATTTCAGGCTCCTGGCTGAGGTGTATCGTGTCTCGTCTAACAGCAGTCCGCTGAGATGGAAGCGTGTGACGGACACCCTCGTCCCTGTCACGGTGAAATGTCTGCAGGACGCGCCGTTCCACGTGTTCCACATCACGGCGAATAACTTCGCTGACCAGCGCGTGCTAGATGTACAGATAACTGTTCCAGGTAGGCAGAACATTTCCTTTCATGATTTTTTTGTTACTACTTTGAAGTCTTTGAAGCCTAAGAGCTGTACGTCATGTAGAAAGAAGGAAGCTTCAGGTACATGAAAACAACTTCGCTGACCAGCGCGTGCTCGATGTACAGATAACTGTACCAGGTAGGCAGAACAAGTTCCCCTGTACTTTTACCTCTTTGCATAGATATTGATGTAAAACAAAAAGGTTCACTGTGTTTGTAACTTATCTCCAAGCAGATCATAAGGTGGCAAGGCAGTATACATTGGCCAGAGGAGCGCCATTAGCCACTGATATTGATACTGTCTGACAATTTGGTCTTTTGCGGCCACCAAAACATCTACTTGGAGATTATTTGTACCTAAAGTCATACACTGCTGTACTGTTAGTGTACATGTACTTATGAGCCCCCTCCCTTGCTGATACTGAATGGTAGACTTTCTGTGACTTCAAACTGCAGAGTATTGTTTGTATATTGTACAATCTCGTGCTTGTTGCGAAATACCTGTCACCTTACATTCACTTCGAATTTGGAAAAGCACAAAATTTTTGAAGACCTACATGTAGCATTTGTGTATGTATATGATAGTTTTGTCAGACATATAAGTATATTGTGCACCATTAAAAGGAGGAAAGTAATTATAAAGTTGTTTGAAATAGACTAACATGTGAAACTTTACATCTGGTATCTTGTTTGAACACAAAGCTTCCAAACATTGTGCCATTTAATGCTGAAGAATGACTTTGCAATACAAAGTTACGTAATTACAGAATAGGCACATGTACATGTATCTATGTATGATAGCAAAGTTTGGCTAACAATTTTATTCCCCTTTACCTCTTATGCACACAGGAACTCTGTTTAACAAGACTGCTGAGAGCTTTGTACAATGGAGAGACAAAATGAATGGTAAATATTCAGCATCATTTGTTACATTTAGGTCACACCAATTTTTTTCCCTTCAAGTCAGTTCTCTGAAATATTAAGAGAATTAATTCAGGGAGAAATGAAGATGAAAACAGATGACTAGGAATAGATTTGTATGCTCACTCCTCAAACTGTGTATCAACAAGGTACAGGCTTAAGACTATTTTGATGTTGACCTTGAAAAGGACCTTCCAATTCAGTTTTATTTTTCTATCAAGGACCAATTCAACAAATTGAGTAAGTTTGGCCTTACTAGATACCTTGCCAAGCAAAAAATTGTTTTATTTGGTCTCAAAGTGACCACATTTTTCAGCATTTTTTCAGCTCAAGTTCTTACAATCAGCAATTTGAAGTAAAATTTCCTAGTAAGTCCTACATAACTTTCATTATCATTTTGTGTGTAGTGATGACTAGTTCTTAATGCCAAGAACATTCACCATACTAGCTAACAGTTAAGACTGAGATAACTGGATGTTTCTGTGTTGTTTTGTGCACACAGGTGGGGCGTGGGGACTCAACTTCGTGTCCGAAAACGATGCATTCCGGTTCTTAGACGCTTGCATGGTGAGTACCGACTGTTTGGGGTTGGAGATCCCGGCGTTGTCTGGACGTCTGATCGGCGATGCATTTATCCTGTGTGGTCTGCTATTTTAACTTGTCTCAAGCTGGACCAATTTTATTCCTTGGGTCTCAAGAAATGAAGGAAAAAAACAAGAAAGCAGAGTTTCTAGAACAAAACTTGTACCTAGCTACTGTAATTCACTTTATGTTCACGGTAGCAAAACTTAATGGTCCTAGAAAAATGGACATGTTCATAAAACTTATATATTCACGGTGGCAACGGGTGCAGGAAAAAGAGAGTCCAGGAATTATTTGTTAACTGTAATGATTCACGGTACAGAAGTAACAGTGAAAACATAGCAGTACGGTGAAAAAATCAGGAATTACAGTACATGCACTCATGAAACTGTGTACACCAAGATACAAAATCTTTTCATATTGATTTTCAAGTCAAGCAATTTTTCCTTTCTTAATCCGAGAACCAACAAATAAAATTAGTGTGGCCCGAGACCAGATCGTGTTCCCCGGTTTGTCGTGGCTGAAACAGAGCGTCGTGTTTTGTTGTGTGTACGGCTGGTCCACTTGTCGCCGAGGTCGAGCACTCTTGTGTATTGTGCCTGCTGCCAGCCTGTGCACACACACGCAGGGGAGTGGGCACAACCTTTCTGCTGCTGTGACTAACCAGGGCTCAAAATACTACTACCTGCATATGCAGTTGGTTCAGCTAGCTGTGCAGGTATTTTTTTATATTTGATGTCTACCTGCACCAGTCAATGTATTGGGTTAAAACTTTACTGTATGTAACATCCGTGTCCATAATATCACCAGGGTCCATAATATCGCCACCTTGAGAAACAGTGTGCTTAAAGATATTTTTACTGCACCATACTTTTTTATTTGCTATATTGTTTGGTATCACCTACATGTATGATGTATAAAAGAAACTGTAGCACAGGTTTCTGAACAGTTTTTAGTACGATCCACACTTACTAAATTCTGACTGGTGCAGGTAAAAGTTTAAGCCTGGGTAAGGTTAGGAGGCTAGGTAAAACTTGTCTGGTGCAGGTAATTTTCAATGTTGCCCCACTGGTTCAGGTACTATGAAAAAAACAGTATTTTGAGTCCTGCTATTGTGTGCTAACTTTGCTGTGTGCCGTGTTGTGTGTTTTGTAGCCGACTGGGCGTAACACCCTCTCCCCCGTCAGTAACTGTTCCTCCAGCTCACTCAAGATCACACCACCAAAGGTAATGTTGCCTCCACAAAAATACAGCCTCTACCAGGCACTGTGGATCGCTGGAAAAATAGTAGACATTTGCCAAAATAACTTACTTACTTGTACTTGAGTAGGTCTCCTCATCTCTGTGAGTGGCCTGCGTCAAAGTCGTCCCTCCGTCTGCACAGCGTCCTGCGCCATACTTGCCAAAATAAAGGGGATACTAAACCAGGGAATTTGGCCGGCACTCCCCTGGTATTATTATATTCCCTTTATTTTGGACAAATTTCTACTATTTTGTCCAGCGATCCGCAGTGCCTGGTAGAGGCTAGCACATAATGCCTGGCTTTATGTTATAATGGACAGGTGTTTCTGGTACCTTTTTAAAATCTTCAAACACGTACTTTTGATAGAAAATTTCTTTAGAGTCTTTCCCAATGTAATGTGACTGTTGGATGTTTAGTGAACTGTGTACAATGTAGTCAGTAGTGAGCAGTAGAGCAGAAACAGTAGCCACCCATGAAGACAACGGTCAGGGGAAAGGTAAGATCACTAACTTTGTTAGACGTTTATCCTGATACAATAATTATTATAGAAAGATAGATTGGTGAAGGTTGGACATCCAGGTAATAAGATACGCCAAATAGCAACTGGATATGACTCTGGAAACGGTCAGACGTTTCAGCTAGTATTCTGGAAACGGTCAGACGTTTCAGCTAGTATCCACTAGCTTTCTTCAGTGACTGAGAGACCAGAGGAGAAATGCATGTTTATATGCACAAACTATTGAAGGAAGATATAGATTTTTGTCATTTTGTATACAGTACACCACAAACCGATCTGTCGATAAAACCCATATGACTGTCGAAAATAGTTTATACTGTAATTATAGCGAATGTTACTGGATTCTAGGTCTAGAACTGTTTTTTTCAAGTGGGACACAGACCAGCCACCAAGAATTCTCAAATTTAGTGAGAAAATCAATTAAAACACTTTAAGTGGCCTGGGAAAGTATCTTTGAGAAGCTCAAAAGTAGGTCAAGCCAGATGAAGAGCATGGAAAAACATTTTTTTTCAGCCTCTGATGAAAGGTAGTGGATGCTACCTGAAATGTCTGACCGTTTCTAAAATCATATCCATTTGCTTTTACTTTTAGTACCAGAAACTGTTTTCTTGTGTATCCTATCACCTGATTGCCTAACCTTCATAGACAGGGTGCCCTGATGAAGGTTAGACATCCAGGTAAGCAATACTTGTAGGAAATTCAAACTCTACCACTTGGTAAGTTACAGAAATAATTTCCGGACGTTTTGAGTGACATCCACCACTCTTCTTCAGCGTCACTAATGAACTAACAGAACTCGTTAACACATATATTTGAGCAACCTTCATGGACATAAACATAAGTTTTTGTTCATTTTTATTCCTTCTCCTTATAACAGAAATATGGACCAACCGAGAGCGGGACGGACCTGAGAGCAGCGGTGAACTCTCGTAGCGCGAGCAGCTCTTCCACCCGAACCAGCTGCTCCGACTACGAAGGCGTCGACTCCGAAGGTTCCAGCAACTACGAGAATGTTTCCCGCGAAAACGACAACGGGGACGAAGATTCGGCCATCGGGAAAGAAAACATGCGGACAAGCCGCAAGGACGGCAACGTGGAAAGTATGACAGGGTGTCGGGAAGAGAGCACAGCCTCGGGAAGGAGAAGTCGCTCGCATTCCTGTGATGGACAGTCGATCGCACTGGAGACACGGATCAAGCGATACCTGTACATGGAGGACACAGAAAACTGCTCGGCTCAGAGCATGACCATCACGTCGTTTACTGTCAACAAGACCTGCCACGCTGTGTCTCACCAGACAGGGTCCATGTCACAGACAGCTACGCCTACCTCAAGCCCAGCAAAGGCTGGCGCTGCGAACGGTTCAGTCAACGCCAGCCCGATGTCCGTGTGCTCCGTGTCGTCCGGTCGCTCGACGAAGATTTCCGACGGCTCGAAGAAGCTGGTTTCCCGGCAGACAAGCGCGCCGTCCGGAATCGGACACCACAAGCCGCTTCTTCCCCAAGCGATACCGCACACGTTATCCAAAGCTAGCACCGCCCAGAACAGTTCGTTCACGATTTCCACCCCGGATTCGAGCAGTTTTACCGACTCTCGGCGGCTCAGCTCCCCTCCAAGCAGCCCGATGGTCGTTGACTCGAACCCACAAACTCCAACCCGGAACTCGCTCAGTCCGAGACGGCTTTTCGTGAAGCAGCGAAGCGCGCCGTGTAACCTCGGAGCGAAGTTGCTGAACTCCCCGCGGCGGTCGTCCATAGGAAGCATCACGGAGGAGTACCTGTCACAGAACGCCCACTCCATCAACGAGGTTTGGTTTTATTTAGGTCTCCATTAGTTTAATATTTATTTCATTTATTCTTTGGATCAGACCCAGGGCCCATTTTAAAAACAAGACAAAATACAGACATTACATACAACAATTAGTGGATACAATCACTAGTCTTCCTAGATCCTGGAGTTCATTAAAATAATGTAATAACAATGTAACAAAATCATACAACAGAATTAACAGAAGACTAACATAAACTGTATTGCAAACCACATTACGACTAGTGCTTAGTAGTTAGAGTACTCACATACTATATTGTTACCCACCCTTTTGTCCGTCCTTTACTTCCATGTTACATGCAGTCAGCCTACGGGCAGGAACTTGCAATGAAATTTCCATTAAACTTTCCATGAATAATCAAAATGATAGAAATCAACTTTATGACAACAAGTTATAAAACCAAAATGTATTTGATGACCACAGATGGAAGGAGAAGAGGAAGGAGAGGACCCGACGTACGACAACGTGGACCCGAGCGAAGTCGGCTCGCGGCGGAGCAGCCTGTACGACGGCCGTGAAACCTTCGCCGCGCCACTCCTGCCGCCCACGGAGTTCCAGGAGACCCCGGACTGCAGCCTGTTTCGGGAGTACGAGTTCCGCATGAAGCGACACGGCAGCGAGAGATCAGATAGCGGGTTCGAGGGGGGGTACCCGGAACTGGACAATATTTCATCTTCAAGGTTTGTAGATGTATCTGTACAGCCCCTTTGTTGTAACACACCAGCTTCTGCAGACTATGCAGTGTGACTCTACGATAGACCAAAACAGTTACTGTAAATGTCTTTTATATCTCTGATATTGTAGATATATATAACCGGTAAACCACCTTTTTTAGGCCTAACACATCAGTTTTGTACATGTACATGTAAGTGCAAGCTGCGTAAGACTGGACTGTAAGGTTTGAACCACTCACACCGGGAAGGTCCCCTACTCTTTTCGATAAGTGTGGTGGGTTCTTAAACGTGCGTGGGGTGTGGCTCTCCCCAAACACAGGACCTCATCTGAGGGACGTCCCTAACCGAAGTTGGGTACTCATTTCCACCTGATAAAACTGTACATACCACAGGTCAGGACGATTGGGAACACCACAAGCTCCATTCACATGAAGCAGTTCCTTGCATTGCACAAATAGACAAACACATTTAGGTTGATAACTCTGATAATTCCCACAGGTCAGGGACCAGTGGAAACAGCACGAGTTCCACACACATGAAGCAGTTCCTGGCCTCTCACAAATAGACAAACACATTAAAGAATGTCCCATAGCATTATTGAGGCTGTAGTGGCACTGTCTATGTACAGGATTGGTTGGTAACTCTTACTTGTACTTTGCCACAGGTCCGGTACAAGTGGGAACAGCACGAGCTCCACACACATGAAGCAGTTCCTGGCCTCTCTGCCGTCGTCCTCGGAGAGCGGGAGCCACGGCACCGGCAGCGACTCCAGCAGCGTGGGTATCCATGGCGACGTGGGCAAGCTGCGGACTGCCGAGCCGAGATGCTCCGTGAGCGATGAGAGCGGGATGGGGGACGTCAGGCACTCCAAACTCATGCGGGGATACGAGGTAATAATTTACCAGATAAACTTTGCCATTCATGCTTAGGTTATCATGAAAGTTCATCTGTGTTGGTAGTAATCATAGTAAAAGGTTGAACTTAATTAATTATCCTGATGAAGGCGACAGTGGTCGCTGAAAATTTGATCCCTGTAAAATTGTGTGTTGGATTAAAGTTCAACCTTTTACTATTTCATGCTTAGGTTAACATTTTATTTATTGATGTTGATTGATTGAGTTATTAAATGTGGCATTAAGCTGGTGTGTTACGCCGAAGGGCGGTTATACCGGCTATACGTAACACAGATACAAGAATGTTTGACAGTGTTTGACCATGTCTGGTTAGATCTTCAAAATACTAAATTAGATACTTTGTAAAGGCCAAAAATGTCTCTAGAGAATATACATTATTTTCCATGTAGCGGAATGTCTGAATTCACAAAGTCACAACTTTTTGAAAGGTACGTGTAGAACTAAAAAGTAAAAGTAAAAGACTAGAAGGTAAAAAATACTGATTATCAGTGCATATTAAGGTCTTTCAAACTTCCTGTAATGCTCAACACTCAAATTCTAAGGCCCTGTTGAGGACACAGAGCGTAATGGCCTGTGTTGTTTGTTTATTGTTTGTTTATTGTTTGTTTGTTGTTTGTTTTCAGAGTAACGAAGATGACCACTCCATGAATGAAAGTGAGGAGGAGGAGGAATCTGATCTTCGCTCTCCGACCAGGTAAACAACTTTCCGCTGAGCCTTGGAAAAAAATTGTGTTTCCTGTTTTAGTCCTGAAAAAGTTAGGGTCGGTAGGTAGGGATTATTCTTTTACTTTATCTCTTTTTTTTTTACATTGGCAATCTCTAATACAATACAGTTTTTTTTACATTGGCAATCTCTAGTGATCCAACACTTCTACAATACAGTTTAACAAACTTTCAGTAAAACTTGCATGAGGACACTTACATGAGACACAGGAAACTCTACTTTTTTTTCTTAGGCCTTAAGTTAGCAACACTTAAATTTATTTCTTTGGGTATTAAAAACATAAAATCAAGAAGTCAACATGAAAACAGATATAGAGGGCTTGAGAGAAAACTTGAATATGACTTATCTACATGTATTTCACTTTAAAACTACATTACCAGGTATGTTACAGTCTCTGTTTTCTGTTCAACTTGATATTCAATTTCAGCATTGTTTCCTGAAAATGAGAACGTTAAAATTTATAAATCATGGCATGAATCTAACCTGATTTTATCTTACTATAGATTTTGTAAGTTGCACATTTCATTGTTGCAGCAGTCACTGTACCGTTAGTATATGCAAATGAGCCAGGAGGCTGTTTCCAAAACATTGTTGTTTACTATAAACAAGCTTGAATGTAGGTCAGCTGTGATAAAATCCAATTAAGATTAACGAATGACGTAAACGAGCTACTTAGGATTAGTGTTATCTCGATCAGGGGGATCATTATATCTCAAGAACTTCCTAATTTGATTTCTTAATTAATTCTTGGAATCAAAAAGACACCATCGATGATAAACTAGAAGAACAACGCATAAAACAGATTTAGATCTAGAGTGCCATGAGATATAGGTTTTGGCTTGGCATATTGGAGACTTCAAGTTTCATGAAGTGAATATACATTGCAGTCAGAGTGAATGTTTTTCCTCCTACATTTAGTCTATTTTCATCTTGCTTGATCTTACATGTAACTTTGAAATGTCCAATGAATTGGTCTGTCCCATAATAAAATTGGTATCACTGGAGTGGTACATGTATCACAGTGTCATGAGGTTTAGGCTTTGGCACACCGAGATTTTGCTGTCAGAATAAATTGTTTTCCTCTTCTACTCTATTTTTATCTTGCTTGATCTTACATGTAACTTTGAAATGTCCAATGAATTGCTCTGTCACAAGATAGAATTGCTATTGCTGTATGCTTCAGATTCACAGTGCCATGAGGTTTAGGCTTTGACACACAGAAATTTTGCAGTCAGAATCAATTTTTTTCTCCTTGAGCCGTCTATTTTAATTTATCTTGCTTGATCTTAACTTTGAAATGTCCAATGAATTGGTTTAGATCTGCCCCATGGTACAATTGTTACATTGTACTGTAATTCACTTGATGTTCACGGTAGCAAAATTTCATGGTCTGAGAAAAATCGACATGTTCACGGAACTATATATTCACGGTGGCGGCAGGTGCAGGAAAGAGAAAGTCCAGGAATTATTTGTTGACTGTAATGATAAGTTCACAGTACAGAAGTGACAGTGGAAACAGTGAACATAACAGTACCGTGAAAAAATCAGGAATTACAGTATCGTCGGATGTTTACATGTAAGGCCCGTGGTTGGGCGAGTGATCAGCGTGGTGTTGTGAGTTCGTTAGGCTGCCAGATTAATTGCGTACGGTCTCACTTCCCAGGCTGATCGTGTTTCCCACTGCTTTGTTCCAGTCTAATCCACCAGAACCGATTTTCTATGCCTTTCTGAAGGCATGCGCAGTTAGCGGCACGCGTCGAGTCTTTGTTTTGTTGTTCTAGCGATGGATGCAGAGAGAGTCTCTTTACTTGCCGTGTGGCACAAGTCGTGGGAGGTTTGTGTGTGGTTCTGACAGTGACTTGTTGGGAATCAGTTGAAGTTTGTGGACTTGCAACTAGATCTTTTATCACCTTGCTGGAAGCATGGATTCATCAAGGTCCATTGAACAGTCAACTAATATTCAATATTCTTTGTGGAACCAGAGAAGTAGAACCAGAGAACTTTTGTCATCCTGACTGGAAGCAAGGTTTCAATGAGTTTCAGGATTGAACAATCAGCTAGATGCAGGCAACTTCGCTAATCTTTGTCAAGTTTGTGGAACCAGAGAATTAGATGAGATGCTGGGTACAGTGTTGGTGATCGCAGTAGAACTTTCGTCATCCTGACTAGAAGCAATGTTTCACTGCAGTCCTGGATTGAACAGTCAGCTAGATGCAGGCAACGTTTGCTTCTTTGTGGAACCATAGCTGGGCTGCATCATCTTCATCACAGTTTTGTTGTGGCACTAGATATTGGAGAAAGACTTTTTGCATGCGAAATGTATCTGCAAAATCATGCTTGGTGGAAATGGAAAACTTCCAATCAACAGTTCATTGACCTGTGCATACTGGGAAATATTGGATTTGTCATGGATTTACAATCAACAATCCGTCGGTCCACCAGAAGCCATGGATACTAGATCTGTGGTCCAACATGAGTGACTGGATGAACTAGTGTGAAATGTACTTCCTTGGGACTTTTTCATCAATACAGTTTATAAGTAGTTGTTGCACAAGCTGAACTGGATTTTGACAGTGACCAGGATCATGTTTTGTGAAACCTGTAACTTCGCAATCAACAATCCGTCTGCTCACCAGAAGCCATGGATACTCTGTGGTCCAACATGAGTGACTGGAATGTGCTACAGTGTCAAATGTACTTCCTTGGGACTTTTACATCAACACAGTTTATAAGTCTAAGTTGTGGCACAAGCTGAACTGGATTTTGACAGTGACCAGGAGTATGTTTTGTAAAACGTATAAATTCGTGATCTACATGTACAATCCGTGGACCCACCAGAAGTCATGGATACTCTCTGGTCCAACATGAGTGACTGGATGTACTACTGTAACAGTAACCAGGACTGGTTGGTGGTGGGGGTTCATGTGTTACTTTTTGAGCTGGCAGACAAGTCATTACAGCTGTACAAGTGTCCTGCTACTGAGAGACTGGGTTGGAAAAGGTGTAACATCCATCGTAATACATATATTACACGGTCACTTCTCAATCAGTTGTCATTGCATTTAATTCCAAACTATCAAAGGTTACAATCTTGACAATTCACTTCTTGTAAATACTCTGGACTTGTTTTTTTAGAAGTTCATCCTGGCTGTGATGTTCACCCAACTTGCACACTACTGGAAAGGGTCACAGCCCTTAATTAGAATAGAACATTAAGCTGTGATCCACTTGCCAGTAAGAGGGCTCAAGGAATTCCCCGGCTACGTTTTTTTTTTTTTGTCACAGCCAATGGAATACATGTAGTAACTCAACGGTTCATTTAGTTTATTGAGCTAAGCCACAGGTCCCACAAAAAGTACAACTGACAGAGGGCAGCATTAGTTTAGGTACAGGTACAGATACAGGTACAGGCCTGTACCTAAAGCTGCGCACATTGTAACTCTCTCTAACTGTGTACAGTGTACAACACTCAATCACTCACCATCACTCACTGGTACAAGTAACCAAAAATTTGTAAACTCTCCGCAGGTCCCACAAAAACTACAACCGGCAGGGCGGCAGCATCAGGAAAACCGGCTGGCTGCACGTCAAGAACTTTCTGGAACACAAGAAGAAGAAAGTGGAACTTTCCAACAAGAGGAGGTGGAGAAAGTTCTGGGGTAAGATGGAAAAAATCTTTTTTAAAAGATTTTATTAGTGAAGTTTTACAGTTAAACCCTCTCCTAGACTCCTTGTTGTAACACTACCTTTGTTAAAGGTGTTCTCCACCATTCTGTAGTTGCTTACAGTATTTGAAACAATCCTGCAAGTATATGGTAGTAATGTTTCCAAACAAACTTCACATTGCAAACCTGCTTTCCTTGTTCGTCCCTCGAATATATACCAACTCCCTCCTTCACACCCTTACTGCTAACAGGTGGCTTTTGTTGTTACGTGTTAATCACAGCAACTGTAGTTTTTTCAAAGGGCAGATCAAACAACAAGCGAAAATTGTCTCACTCAATAAAGATCAGAGTAGTAGATTCCGACGTTCTACGCCCCAATCCCATGTCGACTTTCATCCGTTCGATGCGTCTGGAGACGTCTAGAATCTCGGTACTTAGCTGCTCAGCAAGCTGGTCAGCCGGGGTAGGAGGCCATTCGGGTTCGTCCACGGGCGACAGGGCGTACCTCGCGGGAGCTCTTATCTTCCTCTTCCCGGCTTCGTACTTTTTGGGGACGAAATTTGGGACGTACTCAGTCAAGTAGGGGGGGAATATGTATTTAAAACTCAGGAAAAGGAGAATACGAAACTAGGCCGGGGCGAGTCAGGAGTCGAAGTCGAGGAATAGCACGTGGAAACCGCGTAAAGGTGGTGGAGGTCGAGAGAAAAAACCCACGACTGCAGCGCTGCGTGGCAAACTGTAGAATGAAGGATTGTCCGTTCATGTCCCGACACGCTCTCTTCGGGGTCACGTGTTGGAGACGCATGGTCTCGCGAGAGTTTTCGTGCCAATTCCATCATATGGTGGGACCATCTGAACATAATTAAAATTGTAGAAACTTGTAATCTAACTGTAGACCTAAGTAAAAGTTACATGATTGTCTTGTCCTAAGTGTACTAGTTTAGGACTAACAGGTGTTCGTTGTTGTTCCCACAGTTTGTCTGAAGGGCACGTTGCTGCTGTTTTTTGAGTGCGACGAAAAACAGCCGGTCGACGAAAACTCTGAACCAACCCACACGCTCTGTAAGTGTCTTTTTAACTCAGAAGAACTGGTCAAGTTTTGGTTCTTTACCCTTCTGGTATTTAGTGCCATGCTGAATTTCTGGTTTTTGAAGCAAATCACAAATCTTTAATTAAATTTTGTTTGTTTTATTCAGATCTCCACTGTGTTTGAATATGATTCTTTGAATAAAAAATACAAAAAATTAAAAAGTGTACATTGAGTATTCTGCTGGTAAACAGAAAACTAAAACTATCTCAGATAGTTGATAGATGTTCCTGCTAAAGTATTCAATACTATAAGTATGTGTTGCGTTTGATCATATTTCCACACTGGTCTCGCAGGGCCTGCATTAGTGTCCGCTATGAGAGACAGGACATACTGGAGTAACTTTATCAAGTGTACCTCACCGGATTAGTATAAACTAATCCGGAGGCATGATGATGATGATGATATTTCCAAGTAATCTCTTGATGTGTGACATGCACCAATGGTATTAAGCACTTATATAATATATATATATGTCATTTTTGCTGCAGTTGTTGAGGGGAGTATTGCCCAGGCAGTTCCTGAACACCCGAAGAGAGAAAACATTTTCTGTCTCAGCAACGGTTTTGGAGATGCCTACTTGTTCCAGGTAGGTTCTAGTACCCACGATTTGCTTTGCAAAGATTTCCTAATTAGGTCTATAATTGTTGTGCAATTATTCGCATGACTTTATGTAAATTGAAATGAGTGAAATAAAATTGATGACTTTGACGTGTTTTCCACAGGCTTATACACAGATAGAAATGGAAAACTGGATCACAGCCATTCACTCAGGTGTGTTTTTACCTTACCTTTCACACACCTGTCCTGACATAAACACCTTTCTGACAGTTTTGAAAACGTTATTATGTTTACCGAAGGAGAACAAATATTGTTTTTGCTCAGTTTCCTCTTCTCCAAACACGTAAGGTCAATGACCTGAACCAGACGTCTGTCACCATGGTAACTAGTGTTGGGTTACATCATGTTGCAATTTTATTATTGTTACATTCCAGCCTGTTCGTCTGCGATTGCGAGGCAGCATGGGAAGGATGACACGCTAAAGCTGCTGAGAGCAGAGGCTCAGAAACTGGAGGAAAAAGTCGACGCCGTGAGTAGCAATTTTTACATCTGATTTTCCCAAAAGTGGAACTCGCTGCCACCAAGTACAGTAGGGGCTAGTTTAGAGTTGGATGTTCAAGGGTTAGGTTTAACAAGTCGTTCGGTGTCATATAGCCAGCATATATGCTGAAATAGAAAGAAGACAGTCTGATGGAAAGTCTGTACCCAAGTACAGGCAGAATGAATTATTATATCAATGAATTCTGCTTTTTTATCATCTTCTCTTGCTTCAGTTTACTTTGAAACGTTCAAGAACCAAAGAAGTGATCGGCATGGTCTCATGTTTCTTGAATGCTAAAATGTTTCCCTCCCTGTCCAGGACACTAAGATGAAGAAGATGGGAGAACTGCAGATGGCCGTCGTGCCTGACCCAAAGAGCAGAGAGGCCATCACCAAACAGGTAC